TGTCATCTTGGCGGTGTGTTTGGGGTTGTTATCATGTTGGAAAACTGCTGTTTGGCCCAGTTTCTGAAGGGAGGGCATCATGTTCTGCTTCAGAATGTCACAGTACATGCTGGAATCCATGTTTCCCTCAATGAACCGCAGCTCCCCAGTACCAGCAACACTCATGCAGCCCCAGACCATAATGCTACCACCACCATGCTTGACTGTAGGCAAGACACAATTTCCTTGGTACTCCTCACCAGGGCGTCGCCACACATGCTGGATACCATCTGAGCCAAACAAGTTTATCTTAGTCTCATCAGACCACAGGACATGGTTCCAGTAATTCATGCTCTTAGACAGGTTGTCTTCAGCAGACTGTTTGCGGGCATTCTTGCGAGCCAGCTTTAGAAGAGGCTTCCTTCTGGGACGACGGCCATGCAAACCGACTTGTTGCAGTATGCGACGTATGGTTTGAGCACTAACAAGCTGACCTCCCGTTTCTGCAACCTCTAAAGCAATGCTGACAGCACTCATGCGTCTGTTTTTTGAAGCCAGCTTCTGTACCTGACGCACAGCACAAGGACTCAACTTCTTTGATCGACCCTTGCGAGGCCTGTTCCGAGTGAAACTCGGCTTAGAAATCCTCTGTATGACCCTGGCCACTGTACTGCAACTCAGTTTAAGGGTGTTACAGATCTTCTTAAAGCCTAGGCCATCTTTGTGGAGAGCAACAATTCTAATTCTCAAATCCTCAGAGAGTTCTTTGCCATGAGGTGCCATGTTGAACATCCAGTGGTCAGTATGAGAGAATTGTACTCAAAGCACCAAATTTGAACTGCTCTAATACAAGATACACAAATTTGTATGGTCCTGTCAAGCAGACAAAAACATGAACATGATGAATAGGACATGTGGCTTTGCATGGTTAAACGACATACAGCTGCTATCACTTAGGGTGTACTCACTTTTGTTGCCAGCTATTTTGACAATAATGGCTGTATTGAGTTATTTTCAGAGTACAGTAAATCTGTACTGCTATACAAGCAGCACATTGACTACTCTAAAATATATCCAAGTTTCATTTCTATAGTATTGTCCCTTGAGAAGATATACTAAAATGGTTGCTGAAAAGTGAGGGGTGTACTCACTTTTGTGAGATACTCTATATAGAATTCTTTAGCTATAGCACCCATCCCTAGTCCCATTTTTAGAAACAGCAAGGTCACATTTTTAGTGTGGATAAAGAAACACTAGGAATGGATTCAGCCAAGCATTTACAACAGCTCTGAAAGTAAAGCGAGGAACTCATGGAACAGAGTGAAACACAGGAGACACAGGTAATCTTGAAGGGCACATGTACCCTGAAGAGACCCATGTCTATATTCATGAGCAAACCTGAACACAGCAGCACACAGTTCTCTTCAAATAACAGTGGGTGCATGCATCATTGGTAAAACAAGTGCTGTTTGAAAGCCAAAGGCTCACTGTAGTATCAGTCTCTCCAATCAATCTATATTTGAGAACCGGTCCACAGACAGCTGAGATATCACGAGAGCAGATGGTAGAGTGGATGTGCAGTAATGAGAGCCAGGGCTTTGCTCCATGTTTTAATACACTAATAATGAACATTGAAAAAAAATCTCCCAGAGGTCTTTGAGCCAATATAGGAAGCATAAATATGTAGAAGAGCTAAAATTCCTTATAGTATTGCAGTTAAAAGGTTTAACATTCTGGGTTTCACAACCCACATTTTGAGCCGAGGCTGATTCAGAATTTAAATGGGTCTCAAACAAGATATTATTACCCAGTTCAACCTAGGACCGCCCACAGTCGCTTCGAACTGGAAACTTCTTTCTCGATCTAGCAAGTTCTAATCTAATTGGCAGGCTTTACATAAATTCCGTATCAGTCCGCCTGGAAACAAAGTTGCATTCATCTATATTCAGCTTTTACGCTGGTATATTATATATATATATATATATATTACGCAGTTATGAAGCATACTTGACATATTTTTGCTGTTTCCAGGACTGTTAGTTTTGATGTGGAGATATCATCCACTTTGTTGTTAACTGTTGTTAAAGTAACTGAATGAATGAAAAGGGGGAAGTAAAAGGGCGAGATGCAATAGATTTACATACCCAAATTTATCTCCAACCACTGGTGACCTTCAACTAACTGATCTATCATTGCAAAGTAGTGAGAGTTGGCTTCGTCAGGCATCACCCAGCCTCCTGTAGCCACCTCGAGCTGACCGCTCTCTATCAGCCTGCGTTAGAGAAAGAGAGACAGTCAATGAAAGAGAAGAAAGGAGAATCTTATTTACCCTACTTAATCGACATGAAACTGCATTCACAACACAACTGTACTTCTGTAATGTGTTTTTAGGAGATAAATTACAGATTTCACAAGAAAAAAAGTAAGGTGGGACTTATATTGGATCAAGAAAAGCAGGGTTATTTTCTTTACTGAAACTACAACTATGTAAAAAACAACTTCTACAGAGCCTTTTCTTTGGCCATAGGAAATGTAGGTATTGTGGCCATGACTTAAGAATTCGCACTGACAACTTATTTTTTGGTATGGCTGGGCGGTTTTTCTGTAATCGATTCATTAGAATGTAATGTTTTGCCATGATTTTATTTATTTATTTTTAAATCGAGGAATCATGGTTTTAAATAAAAAATATTAGCGAACATTACAATTAGAAACGTTGACACTATGCCAGTGTTAACAGTTAAAAGACGAAAAAAAATGATCTGACCGCATGACGCCGCACCTGATCAAACATGTCCGTCAAGTGCATCTACATAAAATAAATGTTGAGCTCATTTACATTAAAAAACAATGGAAAAGCAGCATAGGGAATGCAAAAACCTGTCAAGAACTACAACTTTTTGATATTTCTTGTATGCATGAAAGCTGTTGGTTTATTTATTTAGGCTTTTACAAAATATTTACTGTTAATATTAGTCTGCTACTGGTGTTTCACTTTCAGTCGGTTTGAATTTAAATACCCTTGACTTTTTGAGTTAACCCCCAAAACTGCTTTAGAGAAAGCAGAGAGGAAGATTTTTTTTTTTCAGCAGGATGCAGTTAAGTGCTGACACATTCACTCCCTAGTTTTAGTACTGACTCCCTCCCAAGTTTTAGTTAAATCGTGGCCAAGTTGTACTAATTCATTTGTACTAATTCACTCCCTGTTTTTAGATAAATCAAGGGAGTGTTGTACTAATTTGTTCTCTGGTTTCAGATTAATCATGGCCATGTTGTACTAATTTGTTACTTAGTTTTAATTCAAGCAGCGTCAGTGCCATGGGGGCCCCAAACTTCTGTTGCCATCTCTGGAGTGGGTGCCCTGATTTTAGGAAGATTTTGGGAAGATCTCCCACTTTGATATACGAGAAGGGGAGTGGGTGGATGTAGGCTGTTAACAAAGACTATAGAATACCCAAGACGTGTCACTCGTACAGTTTTGAATGGGGGAAAAAAATGCAACGCTCAATATGGTCGCTCTGTTGAACGAAGCCCCGCCTTCTGAATAAAAGAACCAATCGCTAAAGTCGGTAAAGTCCTCGCGTCACTGCAGCTGCCGTTAGAAGTCCCGGTCAGTATAGAAACAGTCAGCGTTCGGAGACGTGTGCTCTGGACTGCACATGCGCACTGGCTGGTCTAGCCTGAAAAATTACGCTTTTTTTAATGCTATTTGAGCAAAAGAAACAACATTTATGAGACTGCTGTTGACAGTTTCATTGGTGATATTAAATATAAAATGTAATCATAAGCTTGGCGAACAGTTTTGGAGAATTTGATGTTTCCCCATTCAAAGAAATAGGAGCTGCACTTGCATGCCCGAGAACCAGTTCAGTGTGTCACATTCATGCTCATTATGATTTTTTTCCCATTGATATTGGAACACGCGCGAAGTACAAAGCCTATTTTACCTAATAAATAATACTTTAGCTTATAATAGTTAATACATTGGGAATATGGAAACATTTGGATTTGTGCTGAATGAGAGAGGTGGGCTATGAGCCCAAATTTACTTTGTTTCACTTTAAATTTATTTGTTTTGGATATTTATAGCTTAGTGTTTATAATGTTGGTACATTATGTTCCTGTGGCTCAGTGGCAGAGCATTGCGTTAACAGCACAAAAGGTTGTGGGTTTGAGTCCCAGGGAACACACATACTGGTAAAAAATGTATAGCCTGAATGCACTGTAAGTCGCTTTGGATAAAAGCATCTGCTAAATGCATAAATTATTATTATAACATTATGCTTTAGGCCTGCCAGTATTCTGAATTTATTATCTGTTTTATTTTTCCTCTCAAAAACTTTTTATTTTCAAATTTTCAAATTAATGTTTAGTGTGTTTTTTTTTAACGTGCAGCAAATGAAAGAAGGCAATTAATCGGTTAAAAATTCTTATTGTGTTATTATTCTTATTCATATATATATATATATATAT